TAATCACAGCTATTTGGGAGGTAGAGATCAGGAGGATTGAGGCCAGCCCAGCAAAAAGTTAGTGAGACCCCCATCTCAACAAACAATCCAGTATGGTATTATACAGCTGTAACCCCAGCTATGCAGGTAGGAGGATCTCAATCAGAGGCCTGCCCATGAAAAGGTAAGACCCTAGCTGAAAAATAAAATACTAAAAGGCTCAAGTGGTAGACTGCCTGCCTAGTAAGTGGGAGACCATGAATTCAACCCCAGTCCCACCCCCTCTCCCTCTCCCAAAAAAGAAATTTGAAATTGAAGAAAATTTGGAGATGTTCATAAAGATAGGATGTTTAATGCATGAGATGGCATGAGATTCGCCCCAGGTCTCTTTCTGCAGTCATTTGTGCAGGTGTCTACATGACAGCTCTGCTCTGGTGTCTAAAAGACAACCCCAGCTCCATGTGTCCAGAACTGAACATGTGATCTTAACTCCCTGAATGACTCCACCCCAGCCTCTCTGATCTCATCTGGTGATAGCACCATTCTTTTTGCTCAGACAATAAACCTAGGAGTCAGTTTTTACTCTTTCTCTCACCTCCAGCCTCCCATCCATCAGAAAATCTTGTTGGCTCTGCCTTCAAAATATATTCAGGACGGAATGCAAATATTTCCCCTCACCTTCCCTGCTGCACCCTGATCTGGGCTCCAGGAATTACTTTTCCTGTTTCCTGGCTTCTGCGATAACCCACATACCCTGCTAGTCTATTCTGAACACAGTAGCCAGGAGAGTTCTTTTAAAATGTTTCAAATCAAGAACTGGATGTGTGGCTCAAGCAGTAGAATGCCTGCTTTGCAAGCATGAAGCCCTGAGTTCAAATTCCATCCCACCAAAAAGAAAGAAAAGAAAAAGTGGCATGAACCCAATAGCTGTCTGTTTCACTGAAGTAAAAACAAAGTCCTTATAATGCCCTGTGCTGTCTGACCCTGAAACCAACTGTGGCCAGGTCTCCTGCCCTGCTCTCCATCCTTTCCTGTGCTGTGTTTTCTCATCTTGAACTTGGAGACACACTCCTGTCACTACTACCTCACTGTTCTTAGACTTTCTTGGTGAGACTGCTCCTGACCAACTGTTTAATGTGTCACCCCCCTGCTCCTCTTTCTTGCTTGATTTTTTTTTTTCTTTCTTTTCTTTTCTTTTTGGTGGGACTGAGGTTTGAACTCAGGGCATCATGCTTGCCAAACAGGCTCTCTATCACTTGAGCCACACCATTTTGCTCTTGTTATTTTGGAGATGGCGGCGGGCGGGGGGGGGGTCCCTCTAACTATTTGCGCTGGCTGGCCTTGAACTGAGATCTTCCAGATCTCTGCCTCTCAAGTAGCTAGAATTATAGACATGTGCCACCAGTGTCCAGCTCATCATTTTCTTTATATATCTATATATATAACTTTTCACCAAATAACAGATGGCGCAATGTATTTATGTGAATGTGGGCTCTTCACAAGTACCTGAAATAGTGCCTAGAATGTGGCAGACACTGGATAAATGTTTGTTGATGAATGAATGATTGAATGATTGAATGTAGGGCATAAAGAAATGAGTCTGCTGGCCTCCAAGGCAGATTGTGATAGTGAGGCTAAAATATAGGGAGGAGGGGAGAGGCCAGCAGCAGATGTTATGCTGAACAGAATGAAGGAAATAGGTAAAAGAAATTATAAGGGCCTGAATCAAGGTAGGCAACAAAAGCATATTTTAAAGGAGTCAGGTGCAACAGTGAAAAACCTGGAAGTTAGAGAAACCAGGTAACTGTTTGTTTACTCATTCCTTCATTTGTTCACTCATCTATCACTTTCTGGTCCAGGCAGAGGCCTCCTGAGTTAAGGGGTGAAGTAGCCAAGTGGATGAAAGGTGGTGCTACTGGGCGGAGTGGTCTAAGAAGACACTAGTCCAGAAGATTCCAAGTTCTGTGTCACCTGATCAGAAAACTGGACAGAGACACAAATTGTGAAATAGCAGCAAAACTTTATTGAAAGAAAAGGGAGGAAAGAGTAGGAGGAAGCACTGCAAGACAAAAAGTGGTGGGCTCCTGTCAGGTGGCATGGAAGCATTGATTTCTTTGTTTAAAGACAATTTTTGAGTCATAAGGCAGGAAAATCTGGGCAGTCCTTAGGGAGGGACTAGAGTGGCTGGCAGGTTTGACACGTGTTTATGCTAATTTCCTGGCCTTCAATTGTATGTATAAGATTGGTCCCATCTTATACATACAAGGTCTTAAGTAGAGGACTTTGCCCAAGAGGTCAAGTTAGGGGCAGACCTCCCTTTTACCAGGCAAGCCTGGCTCAGAGGTGCCCCTTTGGACACTATCTTGCAAAGATATTTACCACTGAAAGGGGATTTATTGCTTTAGAGATGGCTCAGGGTGGTGTGGGGAGAGTAGTGAAAAGAAGTCTAGCATAGGCATATCTGTTTACTGAAGAGAAGGGAGTCCCATGGCAGGTTATTTTCTCAGTTGCCATGCTGCCCAGTGGTACCAACTCAATGTGTTATAGGAGCACCCAGCCCTTGGGTAGGACATGTTGGCTGGTGAAGGGGTCCTGGGAAGACCTACCAATTAGACCAGTTAAAGATTCACCTGGTTAGCCTGTGGGTTTTTCAAACACACAGGTCCCCCAAAGGACTGAGATGGATGGTGCTAGGGTTTGAATGTGTCCTCCAAAAGTTCATGTGTTGGAAACTTAATCCCTAAATCCATATGGTAATAGTTTTGGAGTTGGGTCTTCTGGGAGGTAGTTAGGATTAGATGAGGTGGTAAGGGTGGGACCCCATGGTGGCTTTATAAGGAGGAAGAGATCTGAACTAGCTCACTTGCTCATGCTATGAGGCAGCACCAGGCCCTCACCAGATGCCGAGCAGATGTTGGTGCCATGCTCTAGGGCTTCCAGCCTCCAGACAAATTTCTATTCTTTACAAATTGCCCAGTGGCAAGTATTTTGTTATAAGAATGGAAAATAGCTGGAAGTATGGGTCAAGTGTGGCAGGAAGGCAGGGAGGGGGAAGAGAGATTAATGAGTGCTACAGTAAAACAAAGGAAAACCAGAGTTGGGGAATGTTACCTGGAGCCCAGAAGAGGGTCACCTCACACCAGAGGTTAAAACAGCCAGTGAAATAACATGTGGTTATGTATGGGACAAGCTGTAAAACCCACCCCCATTTCTGTAACCTGCTCTAAATGGTATACAAGGAAAGCCTCCTTTGTTCTCAGTACTCAGAATTTGGACTCGAGTCCACTGAGTCGCTGCCGGCTTGCTTAATAAACTTGCTTCCTGAAAGCTTTGGTGCCCTCTCAGTCTCTGTCTGAGCCTTCCTGCAACATTTCTGGGTACCCACCTGGGATTTGGAGGGTGGTGTTTTTACCTTCTTGTCACCAGCTCAGTGTCCCTGGCCCACTGGGAAGGCTGCCCCTGCCAGGCTCCACTGGACTGTGTTGATCTGGGGGAGGGAACCTCTCTTCCAGCGAGCTGAGGAGGTGAGTTCCAGTTGCACAAAGGAACCCAAAAAGGCTCAGGGACCAACTTGGGACCCCACTCATCAGATTGGTAAGAACATGGGTTCAACTTCAGGCCTTCCTCAGGAGGCAGAAGGGGAGTCTGATCAACTCTCAAAAGGCACCCGAGTAATGCCCTTTTTGGGGGTGAAACCTTGTCTTTCAGGCTCAGAGAGCGGGGTGGAGTACTGTGGCTGTGTGAGAGTGTGTGACAAGTGCGAGCCTGAATGAAAGGAATGTGCCCTTTGGCCCCAGCAGAATCCCATAGCAGAACCAGTAAAGCCAGCAACGGATGCCCATGCAGGATAAGATAAAAAGGATGGGGGCAGGTGGAATGGTGAGGAATGTGAGAATGTGAAGGAAATGTGAGCAGATTGCGAAAGACGACTAGAAGTACGTAGCAAGATGTGCCTGCCTGCTTGCCTAAATGACCGTGGTGCACAAATACTGACCTTGAATCTATAGGCTAGAAGTATGTGTACTCTTAAATGCGATAGCTGGAAATGTATGTGGGTGTTACAAACTCATTGGCTATGTACTGTGCGGACTTTTGCTGCAACGGCCGGTAGGGGCCTATATAAGATCTTCCCTAAAGAGGCTCGGGGTCTTGTCTGCCCAATCTGACTATGTGTCTTGTGTGGGGAGCTTGACCCTGGCTTGCCAGCTCAATAAACTTGCTTTGTTTTGATTGCAATTCACCGCGTGACTCTCTGTCTCTCGGAGGAATAGGATTCTCG